TTTTATTGTGTATATAGTTCTCATGAATCACTTGAACATTTTTTTGTAGGGATCTTCTACGTTTTCAAACTAACATGGATGAGCATGATCCAGAAATCTGTGATAATGTAAATTACTGGAAAAATCATTCAACCAGCTGCTACAAATTTAGACCACAGCTAAAAGCACCTGGAGCAATGGTACCATTACTGTCATTTTTAAAACTATTTACCTCTGTCATAATTGACACCCTCTGCATGTAGCTTAAAAACAGCAATCTGCACACTCTAACTATATGTAATGAATCCACATAGTCTGACATGTACGCAAGACAATGGCCAGTTTGTGCTGCTGAACTGATTATAAGTTTGTGATAATGAACAATTGTGAATTTTTTTAGACTTGGAAGTTTGTGATCTTTCCCATGATCCTGTATGGTGCAGAACGGTTACTCAGAATATACAGATCATTTCAGAAGGTGACAATTCTTAAGGTGAGATCATTTGTCAAAGAATGTAATTTTATTATTAATGATTACTTTTAGTATCCATTCAATTCATTTGATAGTATTAAAAACTTTTTACCATTTGACTCATGTCTAATGAATAAATGTAAATTGCTCAACTATATTGGGTGTACAATATTGTGCATTTAATGAAAAATGAAATTGAAAGTTAGAGTTGTAATTGTAATGTGTCCAACAGTAAGTAGTAATGATTCTTGATATGTAGTTATAACTTTTCTATTATTATTTAATATCCATTCCTTTTTGAAGATGTATTATCTTCTAAATAATTTCTTATTTTGCTAGGTAATAAAACATCCATCTAGGGTGCTTGAAATTCAGATGAAGAAGGATGGATTTAGATGTGAAGCAGGACAGGTAAGAGGTGCCATTTGAACTTATTATGAACAACTTGATTTTACTTAATGAGTTTCTTCTGAACCAGCCTTTGATTCTACTAACTCTGTAGTGAATGAGCTATATTTAATGCCCTACTTATTTCTGTTCTAGTACATTTTTCTGAAGTGTCCTAAGATCTCACATCTGGAGTGGCATCCTTTTACTTTAACATCTGTAAGTATGAATTTACAGAACTTGATTGCTGTTTCAAGAAACTTTAACGAAGTGATTGTGTAGAGTCAAAAAGGATTGTATTTGTTTTAGCTCACTGCACTCTGAGAATGGTCAGAAAGAAAAATTTGCTTTTGTCTCTACCAGTCTAATCTGAAATCAACTCATTATAGTTTAACTTTCCTTCACTTGAGTTCATTTGCATTTGATTTCTTTGGTTTCCCTGCTTGTATATCATTTGACAGTTGATCACTGAATGCGATCATGAGAATAATTTGTTGTGAAAAGACTGTTAACAGTGGTACAGCTACTGATGTTGTGGCAACCTCAGAGGGTTTCATTGTCAGATTAAAGTGACTGACAATGATCCTGGCTTCAACTAATAAGTCTGACTCATTCACTGACAACCATTTTTTGTGGAACTTGTCCTGGACTTTGGCCAACAGGTTGACACTCTTTACAAACACTACTGTGACAGTTATATTTATCATTTTTGATTGGTCTGTCACTATTAATGTACTTTCAAGAGTCTAAATGAATTTATACATGTGTGTTATTCTTTTGTTACTCAGTGATGAGGATTTAAAAATATTTTTTTAAGCTTAGAGTCAGGTTTTTATAATAAAAACATCTCTTTTCTAGGCCCCTGAGGAGTCCTACTTCAGTGTTCACATCAGAAATGCTGGTGATTGGACAGGTAGATACAATTAAAATAGAACCTTTTTCTTTTATTCAGAATGCATGAAAAGGCATTGCAAAGAATATTTTCTTCCACATGCAAAACAAATCTCCCAATCTCTTGTAATAAATGCCTATTTTGGCAACTTCAGGTTTTACTTTCTCCACCAAATAATAATCTTGATGCAGATATTTGATATATTCTAAAATTGAACACCTTCCCAGACTTCAGATTTCCAAAGGTTGGCATCTTTGGAATTAGTTTACAAATTTAATGTAATCATTTTTACTTTCCTGTACACTTTTCTTTATGTATACTGTGTTTCTTTTAATTGATATTTATGTATTATTTAGACAGTCTACACAGAGAGTTTGGAGCAAATGATGGTGGAATGAAAGATATAAGCTCCTGTCCAAGGTTCTGAAAGTAACTTTTTTAAGTATTTGAATCTTAAATTTGGCAATGTGCATACTGTTTATATGCATTAATGCTTGATGATAGGTTGGCATGAAATCCAATCTTTTCATGATCCCTATTGTTAGTTGATTATTTGGTTATTTTTCTCGCCCTGGCACCGGACTGAAGTAATTAACCCTTTGAACACTTAAGAGTGACTCTAATTCATTGATTGATTGTTAAACAAATTATCCTCATCAAAACCTGAGGAAATGTATAGAGAACAGTATGTAAAATATGCAAACTGATGTTAGGGTGTTAAGGGTTAAGAGCCAAAGTTTTCTTAAAGAGGGATCATACTGAAGAATCTGTTTGATATTTTCTTCCTATAGGTTGGCTGTCGATGGCCCTTTTGGAACATCAAGCACTGTAAGAGGCTCTAATTTTTTGTGATGTTGGTTATAGCAGAGGTAGATCCAGGCTATTTCTTAGAATGAGGTGTACCTCTGAGGAATGATGCAGAATACAAGGAAGGGAGGGAACCCCTTGTACCCTTTCGGTAGATCCACCCCTGCAGAAGGAATGGCTGCCGTCTGAACATCATTGGACAATATTTTTTCACCTTTTCACTTTTTTTTTTTTTTTCATGACAGTTATCATTTATCTGAGATATAATTGCATGATTGTCTCCTTGTTTATTATTTTTATATTATAAAGAATTTTTTGGATTTGTTTAGGATGTGTTCAAATATGATGTCATTATGTGTATTGGAGCTGGTATTGGAGTAACTCCCTTTGCATCAATATTAAAGTCTGTGTGGTAAGTACTTTTTTAATGGAGAAAGATTTTATACCCTTTGTCATTCTCTGATTCAGTTGATAAATTTTGTCCAACTCTCAATCCATCTTACTTAAATTACATCCACCCTTGATTTTGTTTAGTCTTAATTTTTTTCATTCAATTGTATAACTACTCTTTTCATTCAAAAACAGTAAGAGCCATGGTCATCTTTTGTTTTACAGAAAGAATGCATTCTTTGACAGTAAATATAATTATTTAACAGTACTGTTAAAATTAAATTCAGTCTTTTCTTGCTACAGGTATCGTCAAAACAAAAGTTATTCTGACCTAAAGATCCAGAAGGTGTATTTTTTCTGGATCTGCCGAGATGAAAAGGCCTTTGAATGGTTTACAGACCTTTTAAGGTATTTGGAAATTCAGGTAAAAAAAACTGAAATCACGCCTGTCGTATAGATGACTATACATGTTTGTGAAACTTAGATTATTCAAAACATTTGGGGTTAGAAGATCTCCTCTGATCATGAGGTAAATTACAAAATGGATACTCCTTCACCTTAAATTTCAGATGGAAGAAATGAATATGAAAAACTTTGTGGAATATCACATATATCTCACAGGATGGGATACTAAATTGGTAAGACGACTTTAAATAAATGAGCAGGCTTGAAATATGTATTATAATTATTATATACACTAAGGTTTAGTATTTAGTTGATGTGAATAATCTTTGTTATTTCGTGCTTTGAAAATTTTGTGAAGGGGGAGGTAGAGTCTAAGGAATATGTTGATCTGTTTTTGCCAGGTACATTTTTGCAACTAGAATAATGGACTTAGTTGAAGGTTAATGTTCATGTTATGCTGCTGAGCTTATTCAGGTCTTGTTCTAGGCAATTACAACTTATGGAGTCTATGGCATCCTTCCTCCCAGTGATTTACACTTTATTTATACGATGTATACTTTGCATCGTTTTCTTTCCCTCCCCATAGGGCCCAAAAAAAGATTGAGATGTAATATTTAACATGTAGCTATCATGTGGGTTTTAGAAAGAAAGTGATAATAAGTTACCTGTTTATTTCAGGCAATTCAGTCAATTATACATCAGGGTGAAGAAGATAACATAACACATTTGGATGCTAAGACACAGTATGGCAGACCAGAGTGGAGCAAGATTTTTAAGGGTATTGGGGAGAAACACAAAGGGTGAGTGACAGGAAAGTTCAGGGCTAGGCTGCAACAGTGAACTGAAATGTGAAGCAAAGGAGATATGAATATCAAGATTTGGTTGCAGACATAACCATCTAGATGAGCTATTAGAGTTCTACATTACCTAAATTACTCTGTTCTGGTCTCATTGCACTCAGTGACTTCAACCAGCTTGTTAACTAGAAAAAGCGCAGCTCCCCTTTTTTTGTAGTCCAAAGAGCTGAAGTGATGAACTGATAGTAACAATATTTCCTTCTCTGTTGTAGGACAGAAATTGGGGTCTTTTTCTGTGGACCAAGTGGTTTATCACATGTGTTACACAAAAAAGCCAACCAGTACAGTAATCCAAGTACAGGAGTCAAGTTTTGTTACAACAAAGAAAATTTCTAGAGTAGTTATACAATTGAATGAAAAAAATTAAGACTAATTTCTTGGAAGAGCACAGATGGCTATCTTGTCACAATATAATATGCAGTCGGCTTCTTATTTGACTGAACACTTAAATTGAATATTAACACCTTGATATATTTCTATCTTGCAAAACTATCTGGTAATCAACATTATTAAATCCTTTAACTCCCAGAAGTGATTTGTGTAACTTCTCCCAACAATATCTATACATTATCCAACAAACATGTAATGAGATTACTCAAATTTATTAATTAGAGATTGTTATCACAATATAAAACCAAATTCCTGTAACCAAATTACAAGGAAATGTCTAACAGCTAGATAGGAGAATTAACAACTAGATCTTGGGAGTTGAAGGGTTAATACAAACAACTGTGACTAGCATCTTATTTCTCCTTACAATATCACTCCTGAATCAAATATTAAGCTACGTCCGAGAATAAAGGAAATGATGACTAACTAAAGAAACTTTTGATTATTCATCAAATTCCCCTTGTCACCATCTCAGGAAACGTATAGAGCACAGTATAGAGAAAAAGCATACTGATGCATTAAGGTTTTAAGGGTTTATGATGAATTTAGATGTATTAAAAAAAAAGGAAACTCTTCTCATTTCTTTTAAAGGGATAAGGAAATCCTCATACATTTATGGCACCTTAGGCCCCTATGTACTTGAAGAGGGGAGACACCATTGCTACTTTTTTTTAAAAATTAACCAAAACCAGTAAAAAATACCTTTTGAACAAGGACATATTATTGCCACCTTTTAACAATCTACAAACCTAGTGAAAAAGACTTTTTGAGCACACTGATTGGCTTTTAACTTAAGTAAAAAAATGAGTTAAGGACTTTAGATACAGAAAGTATATATTTGTAAAAAAATGGGTTTAGGACTTTAGGTGATGATGTTTAATTAGAATATACACAAGCAATGACTACCAATTATTCAGAAAAGTAGAAGTACATATCCACCACTTTCACCTAAAACTGAGGTGAATAAACCACATGAGAACCAGAAAATTAATTTCAGTATATTTGTCAACATACCATAAAATATTCAGAAATGAAACTCTTAATGGACACTTTTCCATATTCTGCTGCTTTGAGGTGAATAGTAGGTGCTAATCACCTCTGAGGTAGCCAATCTGCTTATGAAAAAAAATCATCATTCACCTGCTAGGTATTCACTAGTATAATTTATTATTAATGTACATTAGACTTGTTATGAAAATTTTGATTAGTCAAGAGCATTCAAACAATGTACTGACAGTGAAGTTGACTTGATAAATGCAATATCTACAGCAGATATTACCTTTGTTTTATCAAGTTCAAATTCTGCCTAGTTTCTAAGCCCCTTGTCTGTGTAGTGTTCTCAAACTTTTGCCAAGTCAGAGAGGTGTCGTTTGCGAATTGTTTCAAAAATGTAATCATAAAATAATCATTAAATTTGGACTTTGTGATATCATTCTCATACTCATCCAGTAATTTCTTCTTGTTCACCCCATTGGCACAAAAATTGGTGGATATTTACTTTGACACTCACCTCCACAGTAAAGGTATTTGTTTCTCTGACGGAATTTGGAACAGACACCCCTATTTAAATAATCCATATGCCAGTTACCATAAAAATTTAAATGTTATATCAAATAGGAAATTGCACTGCTGTTAGATGTAGCAAGGAAACTTTACTAAACAATGGTGCAAGATTTTTAAATCTTTATAATTAATTTTTGAAGTTGTAACAAATATTGGCCAAACCCCAAAACTTAAAACAAGTTTATTAGAAAGTGTATTAAATGAGACCTACCAATATCTCACTGGTGTATACCGGTAGCTCATAATTCTCATGACTGGTGTGCTTTTAATGTTGTGTATTGGATGCAGAGTAGACCATGACAACTTTTAATTGATGAACAGATCACTTTCACTCCTTCACTTACTATGTAATTCAAACAAAACTTAAATCATACAGAATCTCTAATCCATCACATCCCAAGGAAATATTTAACTATACAAGAAGCAACATTGCATACAGTTTACTGATACCTTTGAAATTAATTTTTGTTGAAAAAAAATTGAAAGCTCATTTCTCTGTGGGAAAATTTCATCCTTCCAAGCTTTCTCTAAGTGACTCGATTCACCCCCACTTTATCCTTGATCTTAAGGGTCCACGACAGTCATGGACAAATACCATGAAAGATGTTCCAAACTTGTCATTCAAATTGTTGTTCAAATCTGTTGCTCTTCCTCAAGTCATTTGCAAGAAAAAGAAGATAGAATTGGCATCTGGGGAGCACACTCATGGTTACTTAGAGGAAGGTTCCCATTCATAACAGGGTTCTTCCTCTTTGCAACTGCAAAATGTACAAAACAGAGCCTTGGGTGTTGACTTTGAAAAATGAACTGAACTGGAAAACAAACTTGCTATGCACACCCAGCCAAGCCATCATTCCAAAATTTAAAGACAAGTTCAAGGTCACCTGCACACTCAGATGCTCAAAATAACAGACTAAGACTAAGACCTAATAACTTTGTAAGGCAAGGTTGACCTTAATGAAGGGGTAAGTTTCCAGAAGAACTGTGGTGCTATGTTGGTGGTAGAGTATAGCAGGTAATTAAGCATTAACAACCGAGTTAGAAGGTTAGCCTTACTTGAACTCAACATATAAGTACTGGTACAATTACAGCACCAACTCAAACATACTAAGCGGAACGGAAACAGCATATTTGAAGGAAGCCCTCACCAGAGAGAGATTGCTTAATGGACCAGGTCTGATAAATTGCACTCAGCTAATTCTTGCTCTTGATTCTCAAAAGTAGAATTTTTTAACTGGGAAAACCTGTAGCTCTGTGAAGCTTCAATACAACCACCTAATGCTTAAAGGTACACTACACATGTTCACATCAACAAAACTTTATTAGGCATTGACTTAAATCTTCTTACAGTTTTTGGACCTCTCCAAAGTTAGACTAAGCAAAAATGTTATTGTAACCTGTTTATAATAATTAACTGAAACGATGCAAAAAAGAAAATTTTACCCTACAAAAAAAAGTGGATAATTTTTGCCTTAAGCAGTTTTTAAAACAATCAAATAGTAAGAGCAAAGTTCAGGGATGTTACTGTCCACCTCTCAGACGCAACACCAAATGAAGAGTTGACTCTTTTTGTATGTTGTAGTCGCTCAGAGTGCGGCCATCTTCAAGTTGCTTGCCAGCAAAAATCAATCTCTGCTGGTCTGGAGGAATACCCTCTTTATCCTGGATTTTGGTCTTCACATTCTCAATGGAGTCGCTGGGTTCAACTTCAAGGGTGATGGTTTTTCCTGTCAAGGTTTTGACAAAGATTTGCATGCCACCACGCAGGCGCAACACAAGGTGGAGGGTTGACTCCTTCTGGATGTTGTAGTCACTCAGGGTACGACCATCTTCTAACTGCTTTCCAGCAAAGATCAATCTCTGTTGGTCTGGAGGGATGCCTTCTTTATCTTGAATCTTGGTTTTAACATTCTCAATGGAGTCGCTGGGTTCAACCTCCAGGGTGATGGTTTTGCCTGTTAGGGTCTTGACAAAGATCTGCATGCCACCACGCAGACGCAGCACAAGATGGAGGGTGGATTCCTTCTGTATATTGTAGTCGCTCAGGGTACGACCATCTTCTAACTGCTTTCCAGCAAAGATCAATCTCTGCTGATCTGGTGGGATGCCCTCTTTATCCTGGATCTTTGTTTTGACATTTTCAATCGAGTCGCTGGGCTCTACTTCAAGCGTGATCGTTTTTCCGGTTAAGGTCTTGACGAAGATCTGCATGCCTCCACGCAGACGCAAAACAAGATGGAGGGTGGATTCTTTTTGGATATTGTAGTCACTCAGTGTACGGCCATCTTCCAACTGTTTACCAGCGAAAATCAACCTCTGTTGGTCGGGTGGGATACCCTCTTTGTCCTGGATTTTTGTCTTGACATTTTCGATCGAGTCGCTGGGCTCGACTTCGAGCGTGATTGTCTTGCCTGTGAGGGTTTTGACGAAAATCTGCATTCCTCCTCTTAGACGCAACACCAAATGAAGGGTTGATTCTTTCTGGATGTTGTAGTCACTCAGGGTGCGGCCATCTTCTAACTGTTTGCCAGCAAATATCAATCTTTGCTGATCGGGTGGAATGCCTTCTTTGTCCTGGATCTTTGTTTTGACGTTTTCGATGGAGTCGCTGGGTTCGACTTCGAGTGTGATTGTCTTGCCTGTGAGGGTTTTGACGAAAATCTGCATTCCTCCTCTTAAACGCAACACCAGATGAAGGGTTGATTCTTTCTGGATGTTGTAGTCACTCAAAGTGCGGCCATCTTCCAATTGTTTGCCGGCGAAAATCAACCTTTGTTGATCAGGAGGGATTCCTTCTTTGTCTTGAATCTTTGTCTTCACATTTTCAATGGAGTCGCTCGGCTCGACCTCAAGCGTGATGGTTTTTCCCGTCAGAGTTTTCACAAATATCTGCATTCCACCTCTCAGACGAAGAACCAGGTGAAGAGTAGACTCTTTTTGGATGTTATAATCACTTAGGGTTCGGCCGTCTTCGAGTTGCTTGCCAGCGAAAATGAGACGCTGTTGATCGGGCGGGATGCCTTCTTTGTCTTGGATTTTCGTCTTCACATTTTCGATACTATCGCTCGGTTCAACTTCCAGAGTGATAGTCTTCCCGGTTAAGGTCTTCACAAAGATCTGCATTTCGATTTTTTAGGGTTAACTTCAATTTTTCCACTGTTAAGCGACGTAAAATCTTTCTCTTAAAATTTCAGAAAGGAATGGCGTCGAAGGAAATGGGCGCTTTCTTTACACTTCAGTATCGTCATCTGATTGGCTGGTAATTGCATCGTCATCATCACGTGATTAAAATTTTCTGATGTCATAATACACAATGAGAAGATTGCAATTCATCAATCACTAAATTATTCATTTGTCATTTGTATTTCGGTCCTTCGATTTTCTTTTGCATGTACTCAGATAAATGTTGGTATTCTTAACGATCAGAAGCCATGAATATCTTATTATTTGGTGTAAATGCTGATTTAAAGTCCCACTGGTGATGTTCTATTTTAAGCGTCTTCATTTTCCCCATTTCTTGTGCTGAATAAGCATGTGTTAGCGCCTTCCGAAGGTCGCATGGATTTGCATGTAAACGTGATGTTATCTGTTGACGTCTGCTGTTTTAAGTTGCACAATATGTCTCAAGACTACTTCAAAGTTAGGACTTACAATATTCCATTTACGAAAGTAATAAATAATGTTTTGAATAGCGTAAGATTGAGAGCGGAAGTCGATAGAGCTGAGAGAGCGAAATACGTAGTTCGATCAGTTTTCAGTTTCTAGTCACCTATATTCAGGCGATTTTCACGGGTATTGTGCTCACGTGAATTTTAACGGTAGTGCCAACAGAAAATCGTGCTAATCTGACAAATCCTAGAGATATCGAACGCACTCCGGAAAATTGTAAAAACTTCGAGAGAACGATCAAATTTATAGTTATCCGTACTTCATTTGAGTCAGAATTATTCACACCTCGGGTCAGAATAGCGTGAAATAAAATTTTACAAGCGTTGCAAAGGAAAAAAACAGCAGAAAATTAATTTTTATTATTGTATCCAATCTTAATTGGGCCTATAAACAACGGGTAAATTAAGCTAAGGTCCCTGTGGCATTTCTTAGGGTTAGGTTAGGGTTAGAAAGCGCAGCATCACGATATTTTCTAACGGAAGAAATCACCTGTAAGGCTCTCAATCTTAATTTGTATTATTTATCGGCCACCTTACAAGCCACTAAATGATCTCAAGATGTTTAAGCCTTGGTTGGGTCTTTCGGCGACATTCTCCCTAAGGATAAAAATTTCAGTTTTGCATCGAAGCGTTTTACTTCTTGGGGGAGGGAGATTGGAAATTTGTGGCAATGACGGAAATGTCGATGTAGCTTTAGGGGGAACAATTGGCCGTTAGATATATCTCCCCTAATGAGTTTTCGACATTAACTGGCTACCACTCGGAGCTGCTGTTTACCATTTTGATGGTGATATATTTAGCTGATGATTTAGCTCATTTTGATGGTGATATATTAAGCCAATGTGGGCATTTCATGCCCACATTGGCTTATGGGTATTCAATTAGATGAACATTAAGATGGCGGCTTCAGTGGCAGGTCTTCCTCAAGCACAAAATCAAGCGAAGCAGCAAGCCGGTGTTGCCTCAGATAGATCATTGCGTTCAGTTTTTGGTGCGTTATATGCCCGATATTTTAATTTTATTCAATAACAGAGGCGCTAGTGGGGCAATTAATGAATATTTACCACATGATTGAGCGCGTTTACACCATGGTAGAAATGTTGGCGATTCGGCTAGATCTGTTGCTTTAAATTCTTAATGGATTCGAATTGCTGAAATTTTTGCTGAAAATTTATTTAACGTCCAGTTATTTTTTAACTTGACGTATAAGTAGTTTATTCGAATGATGATGGAAGAAATTGAGGTTTAAAAATCTCCTTCACAACTAATTCCACCACATGCTTGATCTTTCTCACTTTCTTACCCCATTACCCTGCTTGTAAATTACCTAAACGGAGGTCATATAGGACTAATTATATGTGGTTTCAAACAATTTCAGATATTAAAGCTACGTGTTTTTATCTTTTCAGTTGGGAATATTCCTTATGAAGCATCTGAGGAGCAACTTAAAGAGATCTTCTCTGAAGTTGGACCAGTTGTTAGCTTTAGGTCAGCTGAAAAAAAAACTGTACAAATATATTTTGCACAGTAAAAATTAATTTTTGAATGACTTGAAAAAGTGGCTTTTATGGTAAAGAGTGTTGCATTTCCACAATGGATGAGGAAAATACTCTCACTACTACCTGAACGATGAATGAGGAAAAGTCTTAATCTTTTATGAGAGAAATTTTGGATATGATGGAGCGTCTTTGACACTATGATAAATAAAAACTTTCAGGCATGAGATGACGGAGAGGGTTACGCATACAGTAAAAAATAATAACATTAATGAGGTTATTGTCCAAAACATCAGAAGTATACATGAATTTCAATCAAAGTTTTGCTCAAGATAATGAAGAGGGTCACACATGCAGTAAAATAATAATCTTTGCTAGGTTATTGTCAAAAACACAGAATTACACATGATTATATTTTGAGCAAAGTTTTTCCCTATCAGCAACAATGCACACCATATGGATTTTCATTCTATAGATTAGAATTAAGGTAAGGATAAGGAACTTCAAATCACCATAAAACTAATAGCCAAAAAACTCCTTTATTTCCCAACTTTGCATGCCTTTAACTGAGTTTCAAGGGTCTCAATACTCAACTCGAACATCTAGAAACTCAACTTGAGCCTCGATCCATGAAGTTATCAAGAAGTGAGGATTGAGGTTCGAGGGACTGTCAACTTTGAATGGTACTGTAGCTGGTATATTGATCAAAAAACTTGAAAGAAAATTAAGTAAATTATGCATGCAATTTAATACCGTGATGTGTAAACTTGTGAGGCATAACATGTAATAGTATTTTTCTACTTTTGAACAATACAGGGATAAGTAATAATTTGGAGTGATTATTTTAAACTTTAATTTTATCATTAGATTGGTATTTGATCGTGAAACAGGAAAGCCTAAAGGATATGGGTTCTGTGAGTATAAGGACCAGGAAACTGCCTTGAGTGCTATTAGAAATCTAAATGGGTATGAACTGAATGGAAGAGCTTTGCGAGTTGACAGTGCTGCTTCAGAAAAGAACAGGGAGGAAATGAAAGGTTAGCAAGTTACTGTGTGTCTGACTCATTATAAATGTTAGGTTTTCACTATGCTTTTCCTCATGGTATTATTGTTTTGTCAGAGAAATATATATATATATATATATATTTTTGGAAGTTGTTGTGTTTTTACTCTGTCCTTATTCCATGGGAGAAACAGTAGGGTATTGATTGTCACTCTGGACTGGGAGGTGAGACTTGCTGGTTCAAAACCTCACTAGGTTGTCATATTGCATTCATAGGGGAAATGCAAAGTGCTTCTCTCCACCTAGGAGAGATATACTTGGGTACCTCAAACTATGGGAGAAATCTAACAGAATTCACTGTGGAGAGGGGGGTAACTTACAGTGGACTTGCATCACATCTAAGAGGAGAAGCAATTCACCAGCTCAAGTCCAGCTGAAAAATTTTGATAAGCTGCTGTACCTTGGGGCTGCTTGGCTTAGGTAAAGACCAGCCAATCTTTACCTTACAACTTTCTTTCTCATTACAAGGTATAGAAGGAAGCAGTCGTCCAGAAGTAAACCCTTATGGACCACCAGTTGCTCCTGAAGAGGCACCTGAAGCCATTACACAAGCTGTGGCAAGTTTACCTCCTGAGCAGATGTTTGAACTTATGAAGCAGATGAAGGTAAATCACTCACAATGGCAGTAGCAATAAAGATCCTTTCTTGCAAAACTTTTTAGCTCCTGAACTATTGCAGGAATTAAGTACATTTTAAAAGCATTGAAAACAATAGTAATCATAATGGCTAATCAGAACACAAAACAAAAAATTTCTGAAAGAGTACTTAAGAAATCAAGATGAAGACAAGCAAGTAGTCTAAAATATTGAAAAAAGTGCACAAACCAATTAACAATCGGTCATAGTTGTACACCTGGTAGGTGTAGGAGTCTAGGAGTGACTAGCATCTAATTTCTCCTTACAATATCTCCCCAAATCACACATTAGGGTAATGAGAATATAGGACCTGAGGAAAGTATAGAACCCTTTGACCCTAAGAGTGACTAGCAACTAATTTCTGGTCAAACATAAAGGTCACAAGAATAAAGGAAACAATCACTTACTAAATAATGAAGCTCTCGATTGTTTGACAAATTCTCCTTGTTAGCACCATAGGAAATGTATAACAAACAGTAGGGAGAATATGCATACTGCAGGGCTCGAACTTGACTTTTTTGTCTACTAGCAAAGTTTTGCTAGTAAGATTTTTTTTTACTAGCAAAAGAAGGAACCTAACTAGCAAATGTTTGCTAGAGGATATTTTTTAGACTCGCAACTTCGAAAAACCACTCGCATTTTGTGAGTTTGCGAGTGCTAATTTCGAGCCCTGTACTGGCATGAGGGTGTAAAGGGTTAAGAGGATAGTTTGAGTTTTCCAAATCAATCACAACCCAAAGAAGTAAAAAACCATTCTTACTCCTGTTAACTCTTGACACTCATTTTAAATTTTTTTCTTAGAATAAAATATTAATTAGATGAAAGCACTGTGAAATTCTCAGTTCAAGGTTTATTTTGGTTTGTATTTAAATGTGGAAACAAACTGCTTCCTTTTTTTGTAGTGTTGCAGTAATTATTGCTAACTAGCTTTATGCTTTGTGCTCTGCCAGATTTGCATTCAAAACAACCCTGAAGAAGCCAGACAGATGTTACTTCAAAACCCACAGCTTGCCTATGCCCTATTGCAGGCTCAGGTTGTCATGAAGATTGTTGATCCTGTTATTGCACAGGTTGGTGTCAAGGAACAAATTTTGTTTTACGATTAATTGCACTCTCATCGTTCTAGCAAAAAGCAAACAGTGAGAATGAAAGAGAAAAAAAGCCAAAGAAAATTGAATTTGTATTTTTCTAAATTTGTTATTTGTCATCACCAAAATGGTAAATTAATGTATTTGAAGAATTATCAAAAAAATAGAAAGAAATGTATACAAAACAATTTAAATCAGCTTAAGTTGGTTTTCAAAGCATGTGTTTCAGGACTGTCAATATCTTATCCAAAGATAATTCATATGCTAAATATTTTCTCTTTGGCTTTTTTTTTCTGTCTCCATTTTTACTTTTGCATTCTTCTATGACATTTTTTTTTTGCAGCTAGGTGTATGTGACTGTAAAAAGCAAAGGTAGAAGCCCTGTGAGGTTGTATGGTTCTAGACTATGTTACACTCTAGCATTAAATATGTTGTGGATGCTGGATGCGATGCCATAGGGATCAGGGACTTTATGCTTAAACTTTGGATAAGCTCCTTCCTGAATTTGGCTGAATTTTTGGCCTGCAATTGCATGGTAAAGATGAGGTTACACTCTTGCAGTCATGCAATCTTTTAGCTGTCTCACTTGAAATTTCAGTCAGTAGCCCAATTTTGTCAGCTACAATCCTGTACACATGATGAGCTCCTGAATAAGATTCCTCCTTGTTTTAGGGCATCTTGCACAGACCTACCGAACCTTTAGCACCTTTACAACCAACAGGTGCACAACAGCCTCAGCCACTTATGCGTGCAGGACCTTTAGGGGAAAGAAAAGGTCCAAATAATGCAGGCCCTCCTGGACCCTTCCACTCAGCACCTGGATCAGCACCTGAAATGAGAGGTCCTCTAGACATGAGAGGTCCTCCAGACATAAGGGGTCCACCTGATGGGAGAGGCCCAGGTGACATGAGAGGCCCCTCAGATATGAGAGGCCCTCAAGATATGAGGGGGCCATCGGACATGAGGGGTCCTCCAGATGTTAGAGGTCCACCAGATATGAGAGGACCAGGTATGAAAAGAAATTTCATCAACAGAGTGTTAAAACAGATGTGGCTTTAGATCTTTTCCTAGCTCCACTAACATATGAAAGAATCCTAATACCTATTTATTAATTTCCATAGGACCTGATAGTCGGGGTCCTCCAGATATGAGGGGAATGCACCCTGACATGCGGGGCCCTCCGGACATGAGGGGACCCCCAAACAGAGACATGCGAGGTCCCATGGATAGAGGCCCAGGAGATATGAGAGGTCCACCTGACAGAGGCCCTGGAGATATGAGAGGTCCACCTGACAGAGGTCCTGGAGATATGAGAGGTCCACCTGAAAGAGGTCCTGGAGATATGAGAGGCCCACCTGATAGAGGTCCTGGTGAAATAAGGAGCCTTCTTGGAGACATGCGTGGACCTGGACCAGATCCAAGGGACTACAGAGGCCATTCAGACATGAGAGGACCTGAAGGCAGAGGTATATGAATGTGATAACCCTTGGACAAGTTTTTTGTGTGTGATCTTATGGGATATGTCTTACCATTTAACAGTTTAGCATGAGGGGGAAAAATAACTCATATCACTAAACAAAAGAGCGAGATAATCAAATTAAAAGTACTTAAAATTGCACACCTTTTCTTTACCCCATAAACATGTTTTTTTTCTCTACTGTATTTCTGAGATGGCCTTTAAGTTACACAATGAACAAAAATTGGCAATTTACAAAGGGTTAAAAATGAATTATTTACTCATAGCATGCTGGAATATTGTGGAATAATGCCCTTGGATGGATGATGTTGTCCTTGAAGCTCTCTCTGTCACCCACCTGTTTCTTTCAACAGTCTTTTAGCTGGAGGGATTCTTCATTACACTTCATTACACTTCATTACACTTCATTTGAGGAGATCTTAACAAAGGAGTATTCCAGTGATTCATGGTTCACTTAAAACCAGGAGTGGCACAATAATAATCTAGTATCATTGACCCTTATTTTTCTTATTGATGTAAGCTTTTGTTTTTGTCAGGTTCACAGGGTCCTGACTATAGAGGTCCTCCCCAAGACCAGTTTGGAGACCCAAGAGATCGACGCATGCCCTTTGACCCCAGAGACCCAAGAAACAGAGAGCCACAAAGGGGTATTACTATACATATAATTATTTATGTATTTGTTCATTTATTTTTGTAATATTAATTTGTTTGCCCCTCTATAAAAGAACTTTATTAAAGGTTAAAGGAGCAGGAACTTCTGCATAAAGCTGCATAGTGTGTTATCATTAATGCAGGCATCACTCTGTACTAATTTTATGTCTATGGAGCACAGAAGGATATATCAAGTTCAGTAATAAATTTTATATCCCAATATAGATGTAAACAATGGTGCACTTCATAAAATTGCTATAGAGCATGCAAACAATTCTTATCCTCTGTGTGGTGTGAGTCTTTGTCTTTGTGTCATTAGATAATGCTGTAACCTTGGCTACTGTCTAAATCTCTTTTGCAGATGATAGAAGAGGTCCCTCTATGGATCCCAGAGACCAGCCCAGGGACCCAAGAGGTCCACCTCCTGAACAAAGATACGGACCACCAAGTGGGCCAAGGGATCCACGTGGTGAACGTGGTCCCCCAGGTCCTCAAAACGATGGACGTTTTTCAGGACCTGTCCACTCACCACAGCAACAGTGGGGTCCTAACCAAGGGGGACCACCTCCCAGAGGTCCTCAAGGTCTGAACAAATTGCCTAAAAATTAACATTACAGCTGTATATTTAGCTTGTCAACTCTACGGACTGGTTATTTAAACAAAGTTTAGCCGTTGTTTAAAAAACCCGCGTCCTAAACAATCCTCATCTTAGCTGGAAATTTGTGTTTGTGATCAGTGAAAAGAGAGCCGAAAGCTAACAGCAGAAGGACATTTATTTGATGAAATCAACCCTCTTACAGAGAAATCCTGAGGCCCACTGATTGCGTAAGACCGTGGTTTGGGTTAGACTTAGTGAAGATGACTGGCCTTGTGTGTTTGGAAATGATTCAATTGTTTGTTTTACCCCAATAACAGTATTTGACTAAGAGGTCAAAAATTTCCAATTCTAAATTTCTTTATGCTTATGTAGCGTCTATTCAGATTTTTTACGAGTTTTTGTTATTTGAACGAACTTACCACTGTTAGAAGGTCAAAATAGTTGATTAAAATGATAGATTCATTTTATAAGAAGAGACAGTTTTTGGAAATTCTAGTGAGTTAGAAATGTAGCCTCACAAATTGAAATATTTCGTTGTATTTCCTTTAAATAAGCACTAGTTTGCAACTAAAGCAAAATGGAACTGTTTCGCGTTTTGTCCAACACGCCCCATTTTATGATTCTAACTTGCAGTATTTTAACAGGTTTTAATCCTGGACCGGCGGGGCCTGTTGCGCAAGGTGGTGACGTCACAACTCAGGATCAAGAGAAGGTAACCAATGAGATTTCACAATTTTGTTTTGACCCCATAGATTTGCTAGCATGCAGTTTTATATGCGAGGTCTAAACTTCATTGTTCATTCCCTTTGCAGGCGGCTCTTATCATGCAAGTGTTGAGCCTCACTGATCAGCAGATCGCTTTGTTACCTGAAGATCAACGACAGAGTATTATGGTTTTGAAGGAACAGATAGCTCACAGCACGCAGCCTCATTGATTTATGTAGCAATATCCATTTAATTTGCTCTTCTTGTTTTTGAAAATCATTAAAACTCTCAGAAACTTTGTAAAGTGAAAGTAAGAATTGTGTCCAGAAAGGAGGTTTCTAGCTCAAGACTACTCGTGGGATATCAACAAACTAATACTTGTTTTGGCTTCGCATGCTCTACCACCTAGCGTTAGAACAAAGGGAATCGAGAGGCCACCTTAACGAACCTGACTGCCGATATAATGCTCTCCGTACCCACCAGTCTTTTTTCAACCCTTTTCACAATTTAGAAGAAAAACATTGGGTGATCTTTACAGCAGATGTCAGTCCTCAACATTTTGAGAACTTTATTCGCCGAAAGCAACTTGGGTAAGAAATTCTAAACCAATTGCTAGAATCGCTTCAGCCAATATCTTTCGATGTAGCTGTAATAGATGGTTCGAAAATTTGCCTGAAATAAAAACTATAGCGTTTTATTGGTGTTAGCTAATACAAAAACAATCTATATGTGTGTTTATATCAAAGTATTTCTCAACCACTTCGAGAAAGGTCACTGAAGAGCCAAGGACACAATATCCGACTCTTTTTCTGTGACGACACGAATAAACGTCATCGTGAATGTACCCAAAAAAGCTATTCCAAGAGTACTAATTTAGGAATCTTTCAACCCCTCGTTTAAGTTGTTTCACCTAAGCCCACATAACAATAATCATTCCAGAGAATCAGTATTTGGCGCCAGTATCGGTGGACGATGTAAATTCCGGTTTAAAACACATTCTTCTGTCTATTTCAACGTATGTGGATCTGACAACGTGTTGGTATCGAATTCTATGTCGTATACAAGATTTTAATTCCGCTAAGGAATTATATAATTTCTAACGTTTCAGTGACGTGGGAACGAATTGTTTCTCAACTCCCTGTAGAATATCATTACAACCATTAATTTTTCTTTGTGATTAGTAGTGCAACCAGGTTAGTTTACACTTTCCTCGGGGTATTGTGCTGCTGCATGGGATGATGAGTACGTTTCCACACATTTATTGGCCACATCTAAAGGATGTTTTTTTGGTGGTTTTTGAGTGGTTTTCGTATCTGGTGTAGCACTGGTTCTTTCTGTAGAACCCTTAGTTGAAGGTTCAAATGTTAAGATTGTATCAGAATGCATATACTAGAAGACTGACTCACCCAAAATAAACTTTTCACATTGAATGTCTCTTGTGAGTGTAGTCAGAATGCAGAGAAGTCAACGGACATTTCAACATACAGTTTCTGAATCTTGTGAAATGTATGCTAGTTGATGTTATCTTCCCTCCTGACACTTTTTTATCTTACGGAAATCGAAGGGCAGTCAATTCTGGTGTTTGTTAACGTTACTGACTTATGAAATAAAAAAAAATGCCTCATATAACTTCAGCATCAACATTACCCCAGCAGTAGAATACAGCGGTCTTTCAGTCTGTAACATCTGCTTTTTAGTGCAGGTTACTGGGAAAGTGAGGTCTGTCTGGAGTGCTTATCAGGCGTGCGAGTCGCAACGCGCGCTCCCCGCGCGTGGCCTCGCGCTTTCCGTGTCCCCAATCAAGCTTTCCTTCGCTCGCGTGAAAAACGCCAAAACAAATTAGGCCTGTTTTGCAGACTACTTTAGAATATTTTTTCGCCGATTTCAATCGGTTTGTGCAACGGTTTACTCGGTGAAAGAGGTATTAGTCTCACGTCAGCCTCAGCTACCAGCTACCAACCCCTCCCGACTTCCTGTTGCGCGTGTTGCGTCACATGACATGCTTGTGATTGCTTGTGTCGTGACCATTCCTCCTCTAGTGTTGCAAAGGTTCCGCCTGACAAAGATGTGACTTTCAGGAAAGAAATGGCGTCCTGTGTCGTGTTTCGTTGGTCCATGTTTGTTATAGTTTGGCCCTTGCTTCTCCTCCCTTCGACCCAAGAAGTTCAAGTAAGGGTAAGCTGCCACAAGTATTTGACGAACTTTGCCCACGTAGCGGCGAACTTCACTTCATGTGCTATACAGCATTCTCGTCCTTTCCGTTTTTGCTGCAGTTGTAATAAGGCCTATGTCGCGGTACTTAACATACACAGGGCTATTGTAGGTAACGACACTTGTCGCGGTGACTTGGTAATGGGGGAACAGCATCAGATTGTGGAATCTGCGTATGATTTTGTGGTAAATCTCTGGACAAGCTCTCACTGTCCAGGTCGGTAAGCGGACAACGTCCCAAAGAGTTGTTTGACTGTGATAATCATGTAAGCAGGCCAGCAGCATTTAAATGGCAGAGGGAGCTGCTTAATAGAGTTTATGATTACAATCTTGAAAAATAAATTCTCTGAGTCAAAAGCGAACTTTCCTGATCAACTTTAAAAGGAAAAAACACTTTCCCATCAAATCCCCTTAGTCATGAAATATGCTATTTCCATCTCTCCCATGATAAAATACCCGAGGGGGGAGGAAGGAGGATACTGTCCAACATTGGGTGGCAAGGTATGTGTTAGCCAAAGGGGTAGGATTCTCCAGATGTTTTGGGCCAAAAACTAGTTTGGATTCAGTTTATTGTGATCTCAAGTCAGACAGGGTTTCATTTCAAGGGAGACACAAGAGTATTAGGACACAATTTCTTTGTTACTCAAAATGGATAATTTAGAGTCACAGGTCAATAACTCTGGAGCAAATGCTATTTCCTGTAAGATATATTCTTTAAAATTGACAGGTAATAATTGGAGTTTTGCATTGATAACACTAATATTGACTACCGATGGCTCCACATGTAAAATTATGGCTGGGCCATTGTGTTGTGTTCCTGGACAAAACACTTTACCTCAGGGAGCCTCTCTCCACCCAGGAATATTACAACTGGCAAATTTTCAGGGGCATCTGCTAAGATGCAGGGGTTAACTTGGTGATAGACAAGCAACTCATCAATACTCCTTGTCATTTCATATCAGTATATAGTCTTGGTTTTTGCGGTAAACAGATCTTAGAAACAAAATTTCCTTCACCTATATCTTGTAAATGAATCACTTCTGAGACTTAAAATTTAGTACAGACCAGTCTCATTGGGTAATTATGTAATTACCAGAAAATAAAAGTTGGGTGAAATTGTGAAGTTAGCTTCCTGTACCACCTTAACCCTTTAACTCTCACGAGAGACCAAGACAGAATTTCTCCTTACAATATCAATACAATGTCAACCAGATAAGTGATGAGAATAAAGAAAAATATCAATTTTGGAATTATTAGTTGATCCAATACTAAATTCTCAGAGCTAACATTACAAGAATTGTATAGTTGACAGTAAGGAGAATTACAAATTTGATATGAGGGTTAAGGGGGCCAGTGTGGATGCAAAATCAGAGAAGATACACGGTTCCCTTGTTTTTCTTACTTTTCACAAATTAGTTTCTCTATTATTATTGTAGATTGCTTTCACAATGATGTTGATGGTACACCTGAGTATGTAAAACCAAAGATTACTGAATTTTTTGAAAAGTGGGAAGCTGTAGAGCACTGTTTCTTCAACAATTCCAGGGTAATCTTCCACTCATCTGTGTTCATATACCTACTCTCCTGGAAACATACTTAATCTTGCAGTTTCTGGAAAAGTTTTCTTCATCTCTCAGATAAAAAGAGTATACTATTAGATATTTGTACAATCTTCAAAGAGGGGAAATCAAGTAAATTTGACCCTATATTTTTATAGTGTTTCTCTTTAAAAACATGGTTGCTTTTTTGTGATTTGGGTCACCCATACCCTTTGTAAAAGTCAGTCATGTAAAAATGTTGGGCCTTTTTTGGCATTACGATAATATCCAAAACTCTCTCATGTTCACGCAAAATTCAAGACAATTGATATTTTACTTTTTCTAGCCATCCTCACACTACAAAAGATTATTAGTCTGTTATATGACTTTTATCGATCCATATGAAGTCCATCTCTTGCCAAAATCCTGGTCTAAACTGAACTATGGCTGTTGGAGAACAATGTGTTCATTTTCAAAACAGTTAAATAGCTCGAAATTCATCACGTAAATCAAAATGGTTTGCAAATCATTTTTAATTCAACTCCTATTTCACAGGTCATTTTAAAATTAAGAAATTCATTTACATGGACATGAAAGGATCTTATAATCTTTTATCATGATTCACAAATGAAAAAAAATTAAATGGCAATTCACGAGAAATAGAATTGCCCAATCACCCTTAAATGATAATGTGTACAAGTCAATTTTGATTTCTAGAACCACACAATTCCTGTGCCAGTAAATGGGTCACATCAAAACATATCAGGAGTATACAGTGTGTGTGATAACTGTAGAAAGCCATATTCTGCCCTGGAGGAATTCTACAAGAGTATAACAAATTCTGATGATCTCAAAGTTTGTGCTGATGTGTCTGCTTCTGTAAGTGTTACTTCCTCACAAATGTTGTTGGCTGTTGAGTAAGAGATACTTGGTGGGCTGGTATGATTTTGCCAGATTGACTGTATGTTAGCCTTTAGCAGCTACTTAATGAGAGTGCTGAAATTTACCTGAAAGATTTTGCTAACCCTTCTTATCGTTTTTTTTTTTTATTGTTAAGTAAATCTGCCATTTTATTTCAGATGAATTATACACGACAGCACTGGAGCAAAAGTTTTCACTGTGTCAAAATTTTCCATGATCTGGTCTCTGTGGTGGCTCTTACAGTGTTTTTTTGCTTCCTTCCCATCATATTTTACTCTGCTGCTAGACTGCAGGGTGCCTCAGAAGTCAGGAAAACAGGTAAAGAAATACTGGCCATGCTTTAACTCTTTAACCCCCTTTAACCCTTTAACACTCATGAGTGACCATGGCATAATTCCTCCTTACAATATCAATACAATATTAAGCAGACAAGTGATTAGCCTGCAGTGCAGGTGTCTTGTTAGTGCAAGCTAACGCTAAAAGCTTGTGATCATTTGTTCAACCAGCCATTTTTGATTTGCAGTTAGAGTGGATGGTGGGGGTAGGGGGTGGGGGAGGGGAGAAAAGACGCCTGCCTGAAGAGGCTGTTAAAATGCCCTATGCCCCCTGATTAGTTGCGCTTCACTGCATTTCCAGAAATAAGAAGGTAACCAATAAAAATGAGTTTATTTAAAAGTTGTTGACAATGACTTCCAGCAAAAACCAACACATGTGGAGCCGAGCTGTCATATCCAGCTACATATAGTGCGTAATGTCCAGTAAGAGTGCGAGTGACAACTGTAGACTTTGTGGAGTTTCCTTCAAAATTCAGTTCAGGAATCTCCCCAAGCAAAGCCAATCTTCATCAGAAAATATTTTCAAACCTTCAAAACGGAAGGAGTGCTTTGGAGTTGTTTTGAGCGAAATTGTTCGTCAAGTTGGATTTTCCTTGGTGCAAGATAGCTTGAGATTTTCAGATCATGTTTGCGACCCATGTGGCCATAAGATTTGAAATTTAGGCCAATTGTACCACTTTGTCAAGAACGCAACTACAACAACGTCTACGCCAGTGAAAACTAGCAAAAGAAACCTTGACACGCCAGATAAAGCTAGTCCACCGTGGAGGAAATCAAAATCTGTATGTGTTCGTTCCCTGATTGGCAAGACTCCATTGAGGGAAGTTCCTCCTCTCATATGATCATGAGATGCTTAGTCATATGAATGTTTTGACCATCGACTGCCCCCTTGGTATAAATTTTTACTCTCCTCAGCCTTCCACTGCCATTAAAATCAAAGATGGTGGCCATAATATTCATTATGAAATTACTTAGCCAAAATTATGCCTGCTCTACAGACTAACAAGTGATGAGAAAAAAGAAAAATATGTAAAAGGTGGTTATTAGTTGATCCAACACCAAATTCTCCAAATTAACATCACAAGAGCTATGTGGCAGACAGTAAGGAGAATTACTAATGAGATCTTGGGATTTAAAAGGTTAACTCCTAGAAGTGATGAACTTTTTCCTATAATATCTTTACACTATCCTGCAATCAGGTAGTGAGAAAACTCAAACTTATCAGGTTAAAATTGCTGTTTTGATTAACAACAAATTCTTCTAACTTATTTACAAGGAAATGTATAGCAACTAGAAGGGAGATTTAACAATCAGATCTTGGGAGTTAAAGGTTAAATCCCAAAAGTTGGTTAGTGAAAGAAGGTTTAATTTAGGCCCAGGTTTTTGGCAATCAATGGACTTTGACAGTTCCCTATAGGTGAAGTTTTTGAAGTTATTAGATCTTTGTTTTAGATCAAATAGAAGCCCAGTTAACAGTTTTGCAAAACCTTGATGTTTAGGTGATATTTTCTGCTTAGTTTAAGATTGTTTAGAGCACAGTTTGGATGAACAAGGGTAAACTTTGTTTTAATAACTGGCTGTTAGAGTGACCAGCCTCTAATATCACCTTACAGGAACACTGAATCATTCTCTTAAGATTATGAGAATTAGAGAAATGATTGCCCACTTGAGTTGCTTTGATTGCTAGTACTGAAGAAAATGTATAGAGAAGAGAGGGGGTACAGAAGCAGTTTTTTCCCATGCTAAGTTTGCAAATTCAATATCATATCTCTTTTCTGAAGGTTGCTTATGCTATGATTTTTGCTTTTTTTCTTGAGGACATCTCTCTATCTTAACTTTGCTTCTGTATTTGTTTTCAAAGTTTTTTTTGTCTTAATTCTTTATTTGCTGCAAAGCTCTGCTGTCTGTTTTGAGGTTTCTCTTTTGTTAAAATTGTCTTTATTTGTTGTAATGACATTACTTTCCCTGATTGAAGTACTGACTCAAAAAAGCATTTAAACTACAATGTAAATTCTCCTTATTCTGTTATTATTTGTTTGTTTAATTTAATGCTTCATGTTGTTAGTAATTGTGTAATTACTTGTTTTTTTTTGTGCACCACACGAATGATTTTTTTTTGTTTTGCAGAAACTATGAGAGCTCCTCTGACCTGAAAGTCTGCAACTGAGGGGCAACATGTCATCCAGGTTTTGAACATGTTAAGTGTTCAGAGTTGCTCAAATGCTGACTTGATCAAATGTAAAGATCATTGAGGTTGCTTCACTCTTTACATTCCAGTGGGAAAATTCCACATAAGTTAGAGGAAAGAAATGAGTGTATTAACTGGAAACTCATCCAGTTGAATCTTGAGGAACCTTTGCAAGAACCTTTGTTGGAAAATAGTGAGAAAACTTAATTAATCTTTCAGAGAAGTGGAAATGAGGAGAAAAGCCCCCTATCTAATTGTTGACTCTGAAAAATAATTGAAAATGACTGATAAATGAATTAAATAACTTCTACAGTATGCATTTGCATGTGCATGCTACACCTTAAAAACTCACCAAAATTTCCTCGTATACAACTCTGAACTCCTCTCTTCTGATTGGTGTGCTCACATTTATGAACGTCAGCATCTTGCTGCAAATCTTACTGTTCAGTTTTCTTTGAAATTGTTGATTAAATTGCCTCTGAGAAACTTCATCTACACTAAAGGAGGTTACCAATGTTGCAACCTCCAGCAAAAAATGAGCTTCAAATTAATAAATGTCACATTTGTTTAAAAAACTGATAAAGGATTTTACATCATTGGCTTTAGCCTTCAACATCCAACTCTGACTTCCAGAAATGAGTAACAAATGACTCCTTCTATTCTATATCAAGATATTTTATGGCAAACAGGTGTGAGGGATAGAAAGCTTCAGAAAAATTTTCAATCTGACCTTGGGAGTATAGGGGCTAGGTTATAAAGCTTCTTGATTTGTGAAGCAACCCTTTGTTTGGTCCAAGACACTCATAAGAAGTTTTTATGTCTTTAATATTTTTATTTCTCTGATATTTTTATTTCTTTGATTGTTGGTCTGTTGTGGAGAAACTCTAAACAATCACTAAAGTTTGCACAAAGTTTTGAATTTGAAATAGAAGCTAGGTATCTTGTATTAATATTGAAGAACATGGTATGTCTACCAAAGAATAGAATGTCAGGTTCACTTCTCAGTTGTGGTTTGCATTGTGTGATGATACTAGACAACAAGGAATCTTCTAAAATGATAATTTGGTTTTGTCAACTGAGTTGATAATGCTCACTCCGGCGAAGGGCTTACGCTCGAAACATTAGCTTTAGAAACTTTTCACGGTTGCCAATCAGCGTTATAAACTCAGTTGATAAATTAGAACCAAATTATCTTGTAATACCTTCCACCGACGTAGCACCACAGTTTGAAATTTACCCCCCCCCCCTCCCCACCCATCCCAAAATGATTAGTTTTCTTTGGGTTTTTGTCCAATTTTTTAGTGATTAACCCTATACCTACTAAGATCAGAATTTATTCTCTCCACACTGCTCTTAATACTTTTCCTTTGGTTTTGACAAGGAGAACTTGATTCTTAGTTTATTGAATTCTCGAGAAATCATTTTCTACTGTTACGTTGTTTTTCCTTTCTACACCTGAGTCGAAATATGTACTCCCTCAACTGATCATCTTTTATTGTAATTGTGACATGGTAGAGTAATTTTTAATAAAGTGTCGAAAGTAACCCAGGTTATTATTGGTCAGAAAACTTCTGATTGTTTTTGGTTTCGAGACACTCGATCGAAAAGCGTCCTGTATGTTTTTGTATATCCTCAAAAGCATTACTTCGGGAAGAGTCCAACACGGAATTCTCATTTAACCTCATTAATCTGTTCATGCATTGTGATTGGCCAATCAGGAGTGAGATGATTTTTTGAATATTCAGTAATGTTTTTCTGCTGTTGAATCTGTGGACTTTCGCTTTCCGATCAGGCGCTCTTGTTTTTCAAAAGTGAAATAAAACCTAAGATTGTTTTCTGGGATAAATTTAGTTCCATGCGATTGCAGTGATTATTTGGAAACAACTCCACACTATTGTGGTGATTATAGCGATGCTTAGCGCTTGATGTAAAATTCTTTCTCCTCTTCCGGTCGTCCATAAATAGAGGAGCAGGTGAAGAGAGTCTCTTTGTTTCGGGAAAAAAACACGTGCTTGGAAACATGACGTTCACGCCTTTTACGTGTTTCAATTCCCCTCTCTGCAAGCGTGTTTGGAAGAAATCCATCTTTTTTTCTTTCAAATAAACAGGAAACTTGTAAATGGACAGGCGAACTAAACGCGTTTGTCGAGCAATTTTCTCCTCAATCGTAAATCACGATTGTTTGTTTTTTCTACTCAAAATGAACTCATTTTAAACAGCACAATAGACTGGCTGCTCAAATATTGCTCCTAAAATTCGATACTTATGTTCCCCAAGCCGGAAGGGTTAAAACAATCCATTCAACACTGGTATAAGCCATGTAATTGCTGTATTGTACTTTGAATGGTTTACTCCAAATAGGCACGTGCCAGTACCACGCTTGACACCTCTATTGTTTCACCAATGAACTGGCAATGGCCATCGATGGCGCGTGTCCCACACGAACTGCACGTGTTTTCAATTCAACTCCGTAGACTGGAGCAATGACGCGAGTTACGCCGTCAACAATCTAGCAGATGTTTTCTTTGCTGAAGAATGTTTTGCCAGACTTTGAATCGTTAAAGTGAATAAGAAAAACGTGTTTGTTTGTTGTCGAGTGATGTTCCGTTCATCACTCTCGCAAATTTGCTTTGTTGAAAACATTGCGGCTGGACGGGTGTTTGGCGATTTTTTTTCCTGTATAGGACGCAATGAAAAAATTATCTTGTGCAATCATTGTTTGACTGATGCAAGTCCCAAGCGGAGCAATTTTACATAATTCACAAACATCTCTTCTTTTTGCAGTTCAGTTATTAAGGCTGTAAAAATGTTCCTATCAAAGTTATATAATTAATCTTTGTGAACATAAAGATTAAAAGGCTTATTCTGTTAATGAATGGAAATATTCATGTTAGAATCGTAAATTTCTTCTGCGGAAAGGAAATGAACTTCACTAGCAGAATATACTTTTAGTTCCAAGCCTTGTTTTCAAGATATTTGCTCCAGCAACTCATTAGAAAACAAAAAAAACAAGATTTAAAAAAATGTAAAAAAAATAAAATAAAAAAAAACAATTACTGAAATCGTCGCTGCTTCTATTCTCATTTTCGGCATTTCGTTTGTATTTTGCCGGTTACATACATATCGCTGTGAACAGATTTGTACTGAATATCATACGTCTGTAAAACGATAAAGTTTTGAGCGCTATAAGCACTAGAGTAATATTTTAAAGAGAAAGAAATAGGCCATGACACAGATGCACTTAACTTCACTACCGAAGACAAAGGGCAATATGTTTTGTTTATTGACATCTGTAATTTGTAGTTTCTCTAGCTGTAGAGGCCCTGAGTTCGAGAAATACATACACGAGCGAGTTTAGGGACTAAAATACAACAAATCACTCATCTGAGATTAATGAATTGCGCAGGTAAAATTTTGTGGTGTGTTTTACCGACAACATTTAGTTCACCGCTCGTTCAGTTCTGTTGGGTGTGTGAAAGTTGAGATCTTATAGATGTCTAACAATTGTAAGTTACAGCTGTATCAAAGTTAATGTTTAAATAAAGAATTTTTATTTCTTCGATCTGAGATCACGGGCCTGATGTAAAGATACGCCATTATCCTGCTCCTGAATCCAGAACTGAGGTCCAGAGGAAACAATCGTGCAAAAGTATAATTTTTTTTTCAAAAAAAAAAAAAGAAAAAATGAAATCATTCGAGCGCAAGGAAAGTGGCTCTTCTGATAACTTCAAATAAATTTACCCTCTCTTCTTTTATCTCTGGATAAAATGGAAAAAGAAAAATGATATATGAAAAGGAAAACTAACACATCAAGGTAGATTGAAGAAAATTGTACGAAAGCTCAATCTGGTCTTCCGTTTCTAGTGCTTAATACTCATAAAGTATTTCTCAACACGGCGCAAAAAAGAATCTTTTACCAGTTCTGCAGTTTCTTTTCCTAAAATTTTAACCTTAATACAATATTTTTTTGTCGAAAGGGAGGAAAAGTGTTTTTTTTTAATCGTTTTTTACGAATAAAAATTTAGTTGTTTGCGCAATCGCTTTTGTTGTTCAAGATTTTTATGTGGGAAGTATCCGGGCAAGGAGGGAATTCACCGAGAAAAACTAAATTTCTACGTTAATCTTATGATGATCTTACATTCTCAAGTTCTACTTTTGAAATAAGGATAACAGAGGCACTTCTTAAGGTGCTTGATGGTTTTAGTCATATTTTCTGCAGGCATATTTCAGTAGAATTCATGCAACCAAAGACACGAAACTCAGGTGTTTCAGAGCAATGTTTGCTTTCATTTTGTCTGGTGTTTATTTGTTCTGTTCAGATAGCACCTGAGAATATTTGTTGATTTGCATACAGAGGGAACAAGGTTTGACAAAAGGCTAAACATGTTTCCCTTCCCTTGGCTTTGTCCAAACAGTAAATACAATAGACCATTACCCGTCACAAAGCCGGCTATGAATTTTAAAAGCGTTTCTGTCGGAGCCTTTGCTTTCCAAAGATTCACCAGCGTCTTGCTGCTTCTCTATCTCTAATTTTGGACTCATTCTGGTGGAAGATTCATTGATCAACACCAAAATCAACAGGTAGTTCAGTCACAGCGAGCTTGTAGAAAAAAAAAATTAGACACACCTGAGAAGCAAAAATGGATTCCCACAGCACAAGAGCAATGGGAGAAATATTTGTTCCACAACCGCAGTTCTCACACTTCAACTCCTCAGTCAGTAAAACTTTCACTCCTACAAGCCAGCGAGCGACTTTGCATTACCTTCCGCGAGCGAGGAAACACACAGAGCCCAATTGGCGGCATTACGAAGCAACTTTGACGTCCGCGTGTCGCCGAGAGATGGATGCTGTCGACGAAGAAATGATTACGCGGCTCTGCTATGCACTTGAACTTGACAAACTTCATATACTGCCCGATCTAGGACTAAGCGCTGAGATCGTGGATAGAATGTGAACGAAAAGGTTATTCCTGGCGGGAACTTCACCGCATAACGGTTAAACAAGAAATGCATTCCAATTTCCGGGTGAAATAACGAAGAAGGACACGGCTAAAGTAGAACACGGGCAGGGCGGTTTATCGTGAAGACTCGGAAGATTTTTTCCGGCCACACTAATTTGGCCCAAACTAAAGGAAATATTAAGTTTTTTTCGCGAACAAGTCGCATTTTGTATCTTTTAAAAATATTTACAAAAATGCTCTGTTAAGAAGGTTTATTTGTCTAATAATCATGTGTAGACGCTATATATACATAACCAGCCGGAAATAGTTTATTTCTACTAAAC